ACTGCCAGCGCGATCGGCGGTGGTGTGCGATTCCGTGACCGCCCGGCAATCCGCACGATTTTGTGCACGATTGCCGTGCGGTAACGGATCGCCCCCTCTGCTCACACACACCATGCCCCATGCGTGCGTTTATTCGCATGCGGATAATACGTGCAGCGGGGTTGGTTTACATTTTTTTTAGATTTTATTTAAGTTTTTTTATATTTTTTTGGTTTGTAAAAGTAAAAAATACTAAAAATAATTAAACTATATCGCCTTTATGTATTTCCATTTTTAATTGTATTTTTATTTTATACTTTTTTTTTTTTTTTTCACTTCACTTTATTGCTATCACACGGGGCTAACAAGCCCCTTGTGTGATAGCATTTGGAGGTGACAGGTCCTCTTTATTGACCCTGCCACCTCCAATACAGGAGTTCTAGCGCAGCTCTGTGCTACAGGAAGGCTGAGTTCCTGTGTCACTCTAATGTAATCTAATTTGTAGTGGTCACAGGTCCCCCACAAGAGTGCAGGACCCCCCGAAGACCGCGGTGGAAAGGAAGTCGGCGTGCTGCTGAACCCCTTGATCTGCACTCGCCTCCCAGTATGAGAGAAGTCGGCGGGCGGCTCATCCCTCCTTTGTTGTATCTTTTCTGGAGATATAAAGTGTCCCGTGCAGTCGTCTCCTCTACATCTATATAGCAATGTGTCTTTAGACACCAGACACGCCGATCGTTAAAATAGCGTGCGCCCGGGCAATGTTGAAAAATGACGGCACTCAAAACAGTACATAGGCGACGCTTTCAAAGCCAGAACGTGTCATCGGCTTCTAGGTGACGGCGAGTTCTGGATGTGGAATTATTGATGTCACTGCGATATTCCCGCCGATATCTAACATGTGATGCAATCGTCGTTTATGTACATGCCCTATGTACAGTGGAGCAAAAAAGTATTTAGTCAGCCACCAATTGTGCAAGTTCTCCCACTTAAAGATGAGTTGGGCCTGTAATCGGCATCATAGGTAGACCTCAACTATGAGAG